GACAAGCACTTCCAACTTGACAGAGAGCAAATCAAACAGCAAAAAAGGAACTTCTGGCACAGTGCAAGAGAGAGTAAAACAGATGAGAATACCCTCAGCAATGAGAAAATAACATTCATCAGCAGATGGGATGCCATTAAAAAAAGAATTGAGAGGGGCGCCTGGGTGGCTCAGTCGGTTGAGCGTCCGATTCTTGATTTCAGCTCAGGTCGTGATCTCGGAGTCATGATATTGAGCCCTACGTTGGGCTCAGAGCTGGGTGTGGAGTCTGCTTGATATTCTCTCTCACTCTCTCTCTCTCTCTCCCTCTTCCTCTGCCTCTCCCCCACCCCCCTGTTCAAGCTCTCTCCCTCTCAAAAAAAAAAACTGAGAACAAGAAAGAGCTGGAGATGTAGCCAATATAAAAAATTCAATTAAAAAGTTGGATTATGGAAGACATGTATTCACTTGTTTTACTGTCTGCTTCCCTGGCTAGAAGGTAAAACACCATAAGTCACTGTTTATATAGTGCCCAACACACAGAGCAGTGCCTGGCACAGAGTAGGGGCTCAGTACATATTTGTTGACTGTATAAATGAATGCCTCTAAAAAAAAAAGTAGAGCAAAAAAGTGATGAAGAGTAGTAAAGAAAAATTATAAAATAATGAAAAAGGTCTGGAATGTCTATTAGGAATTTCAGACAAAGAGAACAATAACAACAAAACAGAAGGGGAAGAAATTGCTAAAAAAAAATAAGAAAATCCCCCGAACTGAATAAGAGTCTCTAGAAATTCAGAGTCCACTCAGGGATCAGCCAAGTGAATAAAAAAAAAGCCACACAGAGGTGCCTGGGTGGCTTAGTCGGTTCAGTGTCTGACTCTTGGTTTTGGCTCAGGTCCTGATCTGATGGGTCATGGGATCCAGCCCCGTGTCAGGCTCCAAGCTCAGCAGGTGTCTGCTTGGATATTCTCTCCTTCTGCCCCTCCCCCCACTTGCGTTTTCTCTCTCTAAAATGGGCAAATAAATCTCTAAAAAAAAAAAAAGAGCCACACGAGGTGCATCACTGAGATTTCAGAGCACTAAAGAGAGGGTCCCAAGACTCCAGGGAGGAAAAAAATAGGTCACAGTCAAAGGATTGGGACTTCCCACCTACAATATTGGGATTGTTAGAATACGGTGGATCCGTGCTTTCAAAATTCTGAGGAAAAAAATGTTATCATTTATCTATACCCAGGCCGATTAGTAATCAAATGTGAGAATAGAATGAAAACATTTTCAGGTATGAAAAAGTCTCCAAAAAATTATACACTTCTTCACAAAATTATGGAAACATGGAACCAAGAAAACAGGGGATCCAACAGAAGATGTAAAAGGAGATGACAAACGTGTGTGTGAAGCAGAACTAAGGAGCAATCAGTCCAGATTGTAGCAGGACAGAGAGCTCCAAGATTTAAAAAAAAAAAAAAAAAAAAAAAAGCCATTAAAGTACTGGAAAAGTTTGTGTGGAAATTATACTGAGAGGTTGAAGGGTGTGGAACGAAGTGGAAATAAGCCTAAAGGAGACTAAGCAAATGTAAAAAAAAAGGATGAAGTTAACTCCAGGAAGAAAAGTTATACAAGAAACTTAATTATGGCTTATTCCTTTGGTTTAGCAACAAACTATATTTGCATAGCTAAAACAAGGTAAATATGAATGATTCAACTAAAAACTGCAATTCCTTTTATTGGGAAGACAGCTGGAAAGAAAGTGTTGAGGGGGGTCGAATCCTCATTAACAAACCCCATATAGGATTGATAAATCAAAGATATTAGTAAAAACTCATGCCAGAAAAAATAGCTAGTAGTTGAAAGTGGTTACTTTTATTTTTCAGTTTTTGGTTGTCAAATGAACCTTTATTGAAATATTTTCCTTTGTAAACACTACATCAAAAACTAATGATGTAATGTATAACATTGTGATTAACATAACAATAAAAAATTATTAAAAAAAGAAATACATGTCTTTGGGAGTGGCACATGACCAGGTACATAGGGCTAAGTCTTTGTTTCTCCCATCCCTTCCCCTAACCTCCTTAGATAGGCCCTAGAAGTTCCTCTGTTTTTGTTTTGTTTATTTTTTGTTGTGAACTACCCAACGGTCTAAAGCAGGAGTCTTAATTAAGGTTAGAGTTTTGGAATCAGCTTGGCTACTTACATAGTCTACAACTTGGGACAAAGTTTTAATCTTGCTATGTTTCAAGTTTCTCTAAGTGCAAAATGTGGGGGATAATAATAATACCTAACTCATGGGGTTGTTATAAAAATTAAAATAGATTGCAAAATAAAAAAAATTAATAAAAATAAATAAATATTTTCCTTTGTAGTTCTTAACTAGCTGGGCATTCCACTGCACCACTGTTGATGTCGCCTATGATGTCATGAGGGTGGCGGCCGGCCATCCACACTGCAGCCCACAGACTAGGCGGTCCCCAAGATCTCTTTAATGTTCCAGAGAACTCTTCGCCTAAAGATCGGTGTCGCATCTGTCGCTCATTGTTGACAATCTCATCAAAAGTGATGTTTCCACCGTGCTTAATGTTTTTCTGCTTCTGTCCGTCGGCGGTTCCTTTAGGGCCTTGATAATCAGGGCAGAGGCAGAAGGTACCACTTCAGTCAGGGCCTGTCTGTTCTGAATGGTCAGTTTCACTGTAATCCTCAGACCCTTCCAATCACTGGCTTGGAGTCATCACCAATCTTTTTTGGAGACAGACCCAGGGGGCCTATCCTGGGGGCCAGGGCAGACGTGGCACCGACTTCCCCACCCTTGCACCTCAGGTACATGACTTTGATCTCACTGGGGGTCGAACTTAGGTGGCGTGGTGGAGGCGGCCGGTGTTGGGTGAACCCGGGTTCGGGATGAGAGAACACAGCTGCACCCTGGCCTCCTCCAAGCCGAAAACCAAAAGGGTTACTTAAAAAAAAAATAGAATAGGGGTTAGACAGCAAAGCAGGCAACTTTATTTTTTTTTTAGCATTTTTGGTTTTTAAGAATTATAAGCATCTGTTGCTTTGATAAAAATTAATTTCAGAGAAGTCATGCCGGCTAATACTGCGGAAACCAGTTGGAGGGGAGGACAATGAAGATGAGATGGTTAGGAGTCGCAGCTGCACAGCAAAGAGGCAGCGGAGGAGGGTTCCAAAGGTACAAAGGACAGGGCGTGGTGCTGGAAAAGCGAGCGGGGAAGGAAACCTACGACGGTGGGTTTCTGATTCGAACAACGGAGTGTTCTCTGAGAGAGGGAGGGGAGAGCGGGCTGTGGGTGAAGGCGGCGACTTCCGCTGTGGGACTGGACGTAGCTAGGGGACATCCAAGTGGCAATGCTAGGTGGATATGGATCTCGAGTTCAGAGGAGTTTGGTCGGGGCTGCTGTGAGAGGGACGTGAGGGTAGATCTAGCTAACACACCCCGACAAGTCCCAGGGAAATCTAAGCCAACGTCCCCTTGGGCCGCACTAGTTTATGGATCCTGGGTAAACTGACTGCCAGCGGAAGGAAGGTAGAAGCATTCATCCTGCGTGTCATCTATTGGTAGCTCTCACCTGCCAAATGCCCCAAGTCCTCGTTCTTATGTTTCTCTGCTTTGGGAATGTCTCCCGTAAGGTTTATACTGCTGTTCCTGCCTCTCTGTGCTTCGGATTCACTGCCTTCTCTCACCTTCCCTGCCCACCATACGCTGCTTCTTGCTCATCTGTTTGATGCCAATCACGGTGGTCCACTAGGGCACCTACCCTACCGGCACTGCCCCTTTCTTGACCTCTGGTATCCCTTGGAAAGGGGCTCTCTGCTGCTGGCATCTGAAGCTGTTACCTGCTATCCTGGCATCTTTCCTCACTTAGGTTGACTGCACCCAAACACTGGTAGAACGGACATCAAGGAGAAATCGAGGCAACGGTTTGAAGGTACCAGATAGTTCTATAGCAGGAAACTAGAAACGATGGATTTCTGTCCTACCAGTCATCCCTAATCCTCATAGGGTCCCGAATAGCTACAAACAAGAAACATTACTCAAATGAGAAACGAAGGTCACTTTTTTTTGTGAGTGGGGGAGGAGCAGGGGGAGAATCCCAAGCAGGCTCCACGCCTAGCACGCACAAGGCGCTTGATCTCAAGACATCATGACCTGAGCAGAAATCAAAGTCAGATGCTCAACCAACTGAGCTACCCAGGTGCCCCACGAATGCCTTTCTTAATAACTCAGGCGTACTCAGTAATCCACAGGGCAGGGCTCTGATACAAAGTGACTGAGTCTCACAAGAGTGGAAGCCAAACACTGGGCTGGGAAGAGGCTGATCAGACTTTGTCACTGTGGTTGAGAAGCGAGGCCTCCTAGGCTACAGAAAGGGGGGTTGGGGGAAGTGTAGTGAGAGAGGCAACAAGGCAGACAAGAGCCCAAGCAGGCTCAGTGAGCAGCTGGCTGCCTTCGTGAGCCGGGTGCCAGGCTCTCCTAAGACCTCAACATACTCGGCTTTAATTCTGAGCTGTCCATACACATTTTTGATAAACACCCCTTTCTGATTTAAGCTCACTTGTGCGGGTTTGTTACTTGCAACCGTAAGAGACAGTGAAGACCAGTGCAGCACTCTAGGGCACGACCCACGTTGTCCTGATTTTGTATCCCCCATGTCTAGAATACTGGTAGCACAGCTGGGGTTTAATCCACGCCTGCTGAAGGAATGATGGGTACCGGTACAGGTCCTATTAAAAAGGTCAAGTCTATTTAATTCAGGAGTTATAAAATCTAATTTATAACATACCAAGTACGCAACAGTACCCAAACGGCTGCTATAAATCCCAGGCTGAACGTGGGAGATCAGCTGAATGAAACCTTCAAGGGACTGCTAAAGCCCTGTCTGCCGGCAACACGAGAGAAATACAAAGTCACACGAAACGTTCTCAGAAAACTGAGCTTACGGAAGCTCAATGTGAAATTTCACTTCAACCTTTCACTCATGTAAGTATTGAGGGACACCTCTGAAATACGCAAGTTGACTTTTCCTCAAGGAAATATTTATTGCATACTACGAGTGATTATATTTTACAGCAAAATTAAATTAAATGGATACACTTTTCATAAACATAAATTGGAAATCAAGGCATCCATGAAATGTATATGCTGAACCAAAGTCCCAGTTTTCAGCATTCAGCAGCTAATCATGGTTCCCGTCCAGGGCCACCAGTCCATGATTTCAAAAAGTTGAGGATCTTGTCAGTGACTGGAACCAAATCTTCTTTATATGTGACAATTGTTTCCAAGTAAAATCCTTTCGGGGGCTCAAGCATTTCATTTCTTGAGCCATCCTTTTGCTCTACTTCATCACCTTAGAAAAAAATGGAACACCCGAATTATTAACTTTTAATTTTTTTTAAGATTTTATTTATTTGACAGAGACACAGTGAGAGAGGGAACACAACAGGGGGAGTGGGAGAGGGAGAAGCGGGCTTCCCGCTGAGCAGGGAGCCCCCCACGTGACTCGATCCCAGGACCCCCTGAGATCATGACCTGAGCTGAAGGCAGACGCTTAACGACTGAGCCACTCAGGCGCCCCTTAACTTTTATTTTAAGATAGCAGTCCTTAAAATTATTAGTCAAGTCTTGGAAATAAAATAAATTAAGGTAGGAATCACCCCTACCCCCGTCAGATTCCTGACACTATTTTCTTTCTGCGAAAAATAAAAATAAATATGACATGACCATTACAGACCCGTGTACTTTCAGGCCGCTGATAAGCTTTATCACCAAAGGTAATCTTCAGCACGGTTTTTACAGAAGAGCTTTCCTGAGATAAAACACTTAACAGATCATACAATCAACTCGTTTGAAATGTACCACCGAATGGCTTTTAGTATATTTAGATCTGTGCAACCGCAGTTTTCGGTTATTTTCCGCCTCTAGCAAGTCCCGCCCCATCAACTCCACCCCTTCAGCCTCAGGCAACTAGAATCGGACAGGGGTCTACGGACTTCCAGCACATTTCTGAAGGCTCAGGGATTTCCTTTTCCGCCCAGGAATTGGGAAGATTTTAATACCGCTCGGCTGGCGGAAGTGCTGAAACTGCTCGCCAAGTGCGACGGAGGCTCAGGTAACCGAGGCATCACCTCTTTAAATAAATCACCCTCCGGGGTCTCTGACATTCCCTCTGGAATCTTACACAGATTCTTCAAATACACAAGAAGCAGGTGGGAAGATTGAAAAGGTAGTTCCAGGCAGATTCCATTACAGCGAATTGCTCTCAACAATGGTTTGGCAGAATAAACCCGGTATTTGCGGCACAGCGAAGCCGCTTCTATGACCCCGTCAGGACGCCCCACCGAAGGCTGCGGGAGGGTCGTACCTGGTGGCTTGCGTTTTTTCCGGCCTAAATAAAACATGGAGCCCAGCGTGGTCCAAGCGCCCACCGCGTAGACCACGGACATCCGCCGGTACCAAGACGTGGCCTGGACCGCGCGCATTGTGCGGCTCCGGCAAGGATTCGACCCCGGGAGGCCAGGGCGGAGGCGGGCCTTCCGGCCGGCGCGTCACAACAACAGCCACCTCCAATGGAGAGCCGATCCCGGGAGGCCGCTTCCTGCCCTGGCCCCGAGGCATCCTGGGGCGTGTAGTCCCGAAAGTCGCGCCGGGGAATTGGACCCTAAGGTGTGGGGTTTAGGGGGCTTCCGCGCTGCGCCGCGGAGGGACAGCCTCGCATACTACGTGACACCAAATGATAATCTCTCTGAACAAACTTCTCGCATGGAAAATTGTAACACCTGCCTTACACAGGATTCAGATGGTATTTGTAAAGATTACGTCCACTCCTCCTGCAGCTCTCAGATACGCGAGAATGCCTGTCTCCCCCCGCAGCTCTTCCCCATTTTCCTTTCTGGAACCCAGTCCGGGTGAGCCTTGGGTTCCCCCTGGTCAAAGGTAATCTCTCCACTGGGGTGTGGGTCCTATTCTTTACTGCCTCCCCGGGATTACACTCTAACTCTACCCACATCTCAAAAGCAGAACATCTCCTTTGACTGCCCACCTTCAACTTGTCCCTTAACCATACGTTTCTAAATTCAAAGCATAATCTACCCCCACTCCAACAGACCAAACAACTTGAGAGCAAAAGTGATGTGCTTGGCACAGCGTGGACATTCAGTAAATAGCCATATCCAGTAACTACTTTTCAGCCATAATCAAATTTGATTTCTAAAGCATTTGACACCATTGACCACACCTGCTCCTTTCATGGCTTCAAATACATCATTTTCTTCGGTATCTCTGTGTCCTTCAGGACTCTTTCCACTTCTCCCACACTTTAGAAATTGTTTTGCCATACACAAAAAAATGAACTCTAAATGGATCACAGGCTTAAATGTAAAAGCTAGAACTACAAACCTAGAAGAAAACACAGGGGAAAATTGGCCACCTTGGGATGGGTAAGATTTTTTTTAGAATACAGACAGCATGAACCATAAAACAAATACTGGTAACTGGACTTTTTCAGAATTAAAACTTTTGCTTTTCAAAAGCCATAGTTAAGAAAATGAAACAAGCCACAAAATTAAATATTCAAATACCTATATTTGACCAAGGACTTGTATCCAGAATATAAAAGGACAACTTAAAACTCAATTATAAAAAGACAACCCTACTAAAAATCAGGCAACAAATTTGAACAAGCTCTTAACAAAAGAAGATATACAAATGGACAATAAGCACAGGGACATCATTAGTCATCACAGAAAAGCAAATTAAAACCACAAGACACCATTACACACCTATTAGAATGACTAAAATTTATATTAAGAATACCAACAGTTATAAGGATTTGGAGCAATCAGACCTCTTACTAGTGGGAACATAACCTCTTTGCAATACTGACAGTTTCTTAAAAAGTTGAACATACACCTACCATATTACTCAGATATTCCATTCCTAGTCATTTATCCAAAAGAGATGAAAACATATCCACACAGACATGTAAATGGATGTTCACAGAGCTTTAGTCACAAGAGCCCAAAATGGGAAACAACCCAAATCGCCATCATCTGGTGAAACGATAAACGAAATGTGGTATACCACTCCGCAATAAAAAAGAATTACTGATATATGCAGCTACATGGTGAATCTCAAATGGATTATGCTAAAGAAGCCAGACACAAATGAAACTAGACAAAATTCTAGGAACAAACCAATCTGGAGTGGGACAAAGCTGACCAGTACTTGCCTCCTAAGGAAACCATTGGGGAGATAGAAATGTTCTGTATGGTGGTGGTGGTTTCATAGGCGTACACATCTGTCAAAACTCATTGAACTGGGGGCCCCTGCATGGCTCAGTCGGTTAAGCGTCTGCCTTGGGCTCAGGTCATGATCCCAGGGTCCTGGGATTGAGTCCTGCATCAGGCTCCCCGCTGTGGGGAGTCTGCTTCTCCCTTTTCCCCTCCTCCCCACTTGTGTGTGCTCTCTCTCTCACACACACACATAAATAAAATCTTTAAAAAAAAAAAAAACTCACTGAACTATATACTTTAAATGTGAGCAGCTCATTGTATGTAAGTTATACCTCAATAAAGTTGTTAAAAACAAAACAAAAACATCCGTATTCAGTTGCAAGATTGCTTCTCTTATCCTGAGCAACTTTGCTCATATTATTTATTTGTTAATGACTGAAATCTGCTCCAAATGCTCCTGAAAGCAAATACATATTAATTACTCCCAACCTGCTGGGCATTCTGTTATCTCTCACAAGCTCCCTAAACTCAAAAGGTCCAGGATTGAATTTATCAATGCTAGAAAAGAGCAAAGAACTCCTTCTTTTTCTGTAATTCAGAGAATGATTGACATATCACCCAAGCCAGAAACCTGATTTCAGACTCTTGCCTAACACCCCACCTCTGTCTAAATACCTGCCTCTGTTCAGGCCTCACCTGGATTCCAGCTTCCTCGCATCCATCCTGCCACTCTCCTGTTTTTAAAATCCCTAACTGGTCATTTCCCCTGCCTAAGAGGTCAGAGGCTTTCCTTGCCTTCAAGATGGATTTCAGAGTCTTCATTAGGCACACTGGGCTCCATGCTTTCCACCTCAGGATGGCTGCTTTCCATACACTATTCCCCATCTCCATGTTCTCTCTGGGAACAGCCACCAGTACCCAGAGGTAGAACCTGCATGGCAATGTCTTCTATATTATATGCCACCACTGGTGGCACCCAGTGGTGCCACCTCACCTCAGCACCTAAACTCATTGTCACTGAAGAGAACACCAGTGCAAGGTGCGTCTATCACATCCTACCTTCTGTTAATTTGAAATGGAAAGGCCCAAGGTGGAACAGTTTCACCCTTAATCTCTATAGGTTTCTGTGCTCTTCTGTATGATGTATCTCAATTAAAAATTTTATCAGGCACCTGGGTGGCTCAGTTAAGCATCTCTTGATCTCAGTTCAGGTCTTGATCTCAGGGTCATGAATTCAAATCCCGTGTTGGGCTCCATGCTGGGCATGGAGCCTACTTAAAAAAAATCTGGGGCACCTGGGTGGCTCAGTCTGTTGAGCGTCTGCCTTTGGTTCAGATTATGATCTCAGGGTCCTGGGATCGAGCCCCATGTTGGGCTCCCTGCTCAGTGGGGAGTCTGCTTCTTCCTCTACCTCTGCTCCTCCCCCCTGCTCTCTCTCTCAAATATTTTTTTAAATCCAAAAAATAAGAAAAATATCCTACAGAAAAGGTACACAGAATAGAAGCCCTTGGCATTTAAAATGTGTTAAACACCTTAAGATAGGAAAGGTCCCCAGAACGTACACCAAAGGCAAAAGGCTGTGATACAAATTCAAAATATAAAGAAGAATCAATCCAGATGGCCCAACATCCAATGAATAGGAGTTTCCAGCTTTGTTTTTCTAGAGGACTCAGTACCTTCTCATAAATTACACACTTTACTTCTAATTTTTTTTTACTGTTTGTCTTCCCTAACTAGAACACAAGCTCCACCAGGGCAGAAATTTATTTTATTGGCTACATTCCCAGTGTCTGTAAGATACTCCATACATAGCAAATTGTCGAATGAATAAAAAAATAGCTCCAAAGTTCCGAGAGAAAGTTGTTTGGGGCCTAGAATTTTATACCCAGCAAAGCTGTCAAGTATGAAGACAGAATAGATTCAGTGAGTTATCTCCCATGTAATTTAAGATAGCAGATGACTTATGGGATAAAAGGAATTGTAGAACCCAGGCCTCAAAACAAAAGAAATTCCTGGATGACTTGTCATAGCAAATCAGCCTGTGATGAAAGGGGAGATCAAGAATGGACTTCAGGGTGCCTGGGTGGCTCAGCTGGTTGGGCAACTGCCTTCAGCTCGGGTCATGATCTTGGAGTCCTGGGATTGAGTCCACATCAGGCTCCCTGCTCAGCAGATAGTCTGCTTCTCCCTCTGACCCTCCATGCTTTCATGCCCTTTCTCTCTCAAATGGGTAAATAAAATCTTTATAAAAAAAATAAAGAATGGACTTCATTCAGTAGAATAAGAAATTCAAATTTCTGAATAAAGAGAAAACAAAATCTTCTCCCCCCGCCAAAAAAAATTAGAATCTCTAGGGAAAACAACAACAAATACATGAAGTTATGATGCAAAAAAGAAGCAAACCAACCTGTGGAGTGCTAGAATATAAGAACGTAAGTGACTGATTTTGTCACTGGGAACGTTTTCCTTCAAGTGGTGTAGGGACTGAGACAGCAAACCCTTGGAGAAAAATGTAATACTACCTGACTCGAACACGGACAATGTTTACATTATCACCATTGTGTAAATGATCTTTATTAGTTTTCAACTTTCAGAATGAACTTTGAGACAGAAGACGTAACTGTGCTTATAGGTCAGAATGTAAATTTTACCAAGCTTGATAATATAAAAATAAAGGTATAGAAAGGTCCTCATTTTGGAAAATGGGAATTGAGAGACACATTGGCTAACACTGATACATCAACAAATAACTTGAAAGGAAAGGTTAAAACCAGTCACCTCTAAAAAGTAGTTCTAGGCTCAGGGAGTGAACTGTTATTATAAAGCTCTTTAGGATACACTGTTTTGTTTTGTTTCTTAAAACCATGCATATATTACTTTGATTAAAAAACAGTACCTGTTCATTTTACTTGATGCCCGAGATAAATGTATTGTCACTCTGTTACGGCCACTGATGCCCATCAGCCACTCTTTATGGCTACCTGGGCTGTGCTGTTTACATGTGAGTTAGGGACCGTGCACTCCAGACAGCTCTGCCTTGATGATAAAGTTTCACCTATTTCAAGCTTTCCCTCGGTTAACATTAAGACAGAAAAGGAAGATTAAGTTCAGGAAATATCTCTCAGGGGAGTCACTAAAAACACACACATACACACACAGAGACTTCAGGAAATCAAATTTGTATTAGGACTATTTTAGCCGGTGCTTTCTTTATCCAGATTTATTTCCTTTCTGATCATTATGATTTTCACCTAAATAAGTTGCCAAAATACATTACCTCTGATTTTATATAACTGTAAAGTTAGGATATAAAAAGCATATAAACATCTACAAGTACCAAAACGTTTATGACCTTAGAACTTCATGATGCAGGAAAAGGGGCACAAATAAGGAATACAAATAAATTATAATCTAAAGAGTTACATACAATGCTTCCTTTGATTATTTATTAA